CTGATGCATTCTTACACTTCATTTTGCATAATTGGTAATTATCGTTGCGCGCTTTATACGCGCCAATGCTAATGTTTCTACTGTTTACTGTACGAATATATGTAGTAGGTGCGCGAATTTTGGTAAAATTTAGCGGAATATGTTCTCATCGGAATCGTATAACTACGTATTCGAAATTATATAGTAAAATGATATTCTCTACACCAATCAAGTAATCATTAATTAAATTAATTAAATTGATCTGGTTAAGCTGAGATTTATTATGCTCATTAAAAATATACCGAATATATCTATCTAAAATATTTTTCATTTCTCAGTTTTCATGCTCGTTAAATGAAAAACGCGCTGGAACGTAGTATCTGTAGCAGAAAATACGTATAATCCTTCCCAACTTTATCGAAACGCTCACAAAACCACTCGCACGATCTCGCCTACACAAAAACCGTCTCCACGCGAGCTGTTCGTTACTGTGCATCGTTTAAAAGGTTCCGTGCTGGACCGATTTTGGTTACTTTTCGTTCAGGCCGATTAGTTTTTTAGTTTTGCTTCTGATAGTTTTGTGTATAACTTACAATTTTTTTAATAGTGCAAACAATATAATTCTCAAGAAAAGGATTTATTGTTTCAGATGTATTAGACATCAAACCATTAAATTTAATTTTTAAGCAATTGTACACGCCCTGCACGGCACGAAACGTGTTAACGCGTTGCTGCCTTTCGATTACCTCATAGAAATGACGTGATAATTCCGCGATGGTTATTGGCGTCGGCGGAAGAGCGACGCCGTTGATCGAAGGCCAATTAAAGCGACGCTGCGCTGTTAAAGCGAATCTAACATATCGGCAACAGTAAAAAACAAAAGAAGATAAAATTGGAATCACATTCCCCGATATTAAGCTTTCTCTCGTCACTGTGATCCTGTTCATTAGTTTTTTAAGAAATTGCTATTTCTTGCGTGATCGACGATTCATCGGAAGGAGATTAATAAAATCAGTAGAGAAATAGAAGGATGAAAAACAAATACACCGATCGATCATCCGTGCTTAAAGTTGCCCTGCCGGGCACGATAAGTAATTGTCGGCACTAGGAAAAAAGCGCGGAGATTTTCGGGAATCTGTTCTCGATCGCGTGCGAAAACACTTCCCCTTTCCCTCTTCAAAATGTAATTTACGGCTACGAGTCGACCGACATCCATCAAACCGGGGAAAAAATAGCTTCTCGATCCCGACGCAGCTGACTCCGATCATAAAAATCGAAAATTCGAGGATCGGTGTACAACCGAGCCACAATATCCTCGAACGTGGCAATACATAAAATGATTGAATAAATTCAGTCACGCTTGGGGGTTGTTGTTGATGTTACGAAATGTTACAGTTATGTATTTTTGATGCTAAAGATGATAAAGATAGGTTTCACAAAAATGTCAAATTCTATTAACGTTTGTAGAAGCTTATGTTTGTTCATGTCTCTGAAAATGTATATTTCCCTGAAGCTTATAAAAGTTTTAAGTTTAAGTTCTACTCTAACGATGCTTGTAATATAACATTTAAATATGATGTAGAACTCTTAAGATACATTTTTTAAGAAATAAGGACTCATAATTAATAGAATCTAAAAAAAAAAAAAAAAAAATAGATATGAGAATTTTGTTGCATACTATTTCTATCTATTCTAGAATCACATTTTTGGGATATTTAAACTTTAGCTCACTAGATCCGCAACTTAGCAACATTTTTCTTACGTTCTTTCGGTTACTTCGTCCTATATAATCACATAAATTTTACATTATTCTTGTCTCCTTTGCAACCCTTTCATTCCACAATAAAACTTCCAAACAAAAACCAAAACACATTAAAACGGAGGAAATTCATCATCGTCACAATTTTCCTCTTTTTTACTCTAACTATTCTCCGAACCATTAATTTTCCAGCAGTCAATACTTTCAAAAGAATCGATTTAGCGAGCTCTCGTCCATTTATTGACACTCGTTCACCGTTAAAAATAATCCTTTTACATTTTTACATTCACGCTCGTCCCTTCGTGAATCACAGCACCCTAGGATACACCGATACAATACTAGTATAGCGTTATTTACCACCGTACGATCGCTACGTAGCGCAGATTTTGCCTGCAGGCAACGCGACGCCAACTCGAAGCTTTCGTGTTAGAGCTTTCGCAATTTCGAAGCTGGGAGGATAGCTGCCAGATGAAACTCCCATCAGAACGTAACTTAGGGAGCTCATGAGTAGGACGTTGGTTGGAAAACAGGGGGCCGGAAGCTTAATCAGCTGACTAATTCCGAACGCCCGCTGATGTAGCCCGCAAATCGCTACTAAATTCAAGTATTAAGGCCGATCGGTGATCGATGACGCATAAATCTACTATCTAGCAAATCCCTGGCTCTGCCAGTTTTTTTTCCATCGGTGTCGTTATAAAAGCATTAAGGTATCGAATGATTAGGCTTCTTGGTCGCGTATGTCAGTCCTGTGATTGATTAATAGCTTCTGTCTAGTTTCTATAGCGTTTCTAACGTATTACAAATTGTTAAACATTTATTTCTACTTCGAATAAACAAAACCGTACTTTTTTAATATTTCTGAGAGACACGTGTAGTTCTTTTGTAATTTACACAAAAATTATTTTCATCTTCGTTGTAATTGATTCGTAAATACCTCTGTTCAAGTCAGTTTCATTTTTCTTAATTTAATATTCCTTATGCTCTACCTGATTGCTTCCGAAATTATTATAACAATAAATTAATTTGGTAATTCCTTAGCTTTTAGTTATTTCAAAACTTCTAGAATTTTTTCCTATGTAAATTACAGCAAAAAGTTTCCTTTTTTCTCCACTACCCTTTCAAGTTTCGATATTTGTTTGTTCCTTTTTTATGAAGTTTAGAAAATTCTTTATGAAATTTCTTGTTACCGAAGATGCTAATCAATGAACAAGATTCAGGTACAGATTAGTATAATAGATTCACGTACGCCGTGTTATGTATGCGTCGCCTAGTGTTTCAGTAATCTATGTTTATACAGCAACGACCAATGCATAACTGATTCGTCGTGACTAAGCAAATCGAGTTAAGCCTAGCCAGATTTACCTTTCTGTGACAAGTAGTCTGTACAATTTCACAATCTACCAAAGAGAAACTTGAGTCCTTCGCGGGAGAAACCCGGAACGTTGTATCGCTGCACGACTTTACGGATAACGCAAAGTTTTCGAGAGAAATACGCGCGAGACGACATTAATTAAACCTTTCGAACTTTCCTCACGCGCAGAAGAACGCTCCTTAAAGCAATGCTCTGGTTACGGGAGTAGGTTAACACGAGCGGCAAAATTCAACAAAAGGTTCAAGGATTAGAATTTCAATGAATCTGTATTTTCTCTATTGTTTTCTGAGTTCGGTGTTTTAATCCTTATTTCAATGCAACGGAGTGGTGGAGAACACAGTTGGAAATATATTATACAGTATAATGTGATATACATACATGTGATGACGCTTACACCGAAATTGAAAATTGAAAACTAGGTCAAAGTACAATATATATAGAATAAGGTATTCTTGTACTAGTCTTTCTTTTTAAGAAAATTGACTTTAAGTGTTTGGTGAATGTGCACTTAACTGGGTTTCAGTTTAACAGATTTTAGTTGTAGGTTAGTGCTTTTAACGTATATTTGCATTTATTGTATGGGATAATGCAGAACGCCCACTGAAGCAAAATAATTACGAAGGATAAATTTTATTACTTTGGGAATTGTTGAAAATATTTTTTTTTTTTGCGTAGTTTGCGCTTGATTTATCAAACTGAGTTTACTATAAAATAATAAAATATATATATTATCTATGAATATTCTGTTTCATAGTATGGACTTCGTTTCTCAATACAAACACAACTATAATTATAAATATTAATTTCCAGCGAAATCTCAAGCTAATTTGGCATTGTAAGTAGAATATAGACGTATATATCAGACAAACGTTCAATATCAATTTTCTCGGAAACGAAGCTTCACATGAAAAAATTGTATTCTATGTTTCTGACATAATTTCATGTAGTGTCACCCACTTGATGCTTATACTACCATTTGCAGGACACCCTATATATGTATTAAGGAATATGTGTTGGTAACGTTAAATATTTAGTCTCTGAGAGGGATGCAGGCGCTAAGTGAAGCTTAACGATATTAGCCGCTGTCTGGAAGGTTCATAACGATCAGCATCAAATTACGGTGTCCCCTAGCGTTGATAAGTACTTAGTTTACCTCGAGATGCCGAAAGTACGGTTTTTATCGTTTTAATGGCTAGGCACTCGATTAAAGAAGGGAGAATCCATTTACAACATTGCGCACTGAACTTTCAGGCTTCATTTTCTTGATAATTATTTTAACGTCAGAGTTATTTTTACAAGAAAGCTGTGATAAAAGTTTATTAGACACGTCTTTAAATTCAGCAATTTACTTTATCTACGGATCTCTCGAGTATCGCGAATACTAGCCTATACAAGTATTGAGAAATCAAATTCGAAGTATAACTACATAGTGAAACTATAACACAATAAATTACGTGAATTTCATGTAGAATTCAAAAAATTACTGTAAAACTAAATTATTCACAATTATTCTTAACAAACGTTTATTGATACTTTGGACAAATTAGAAACTCTGATTAATAAGAAAATCGATTTTTAATCGGTATTAATTTTATTAATTTTATCGGCTCTAAGATATAATACAGTATATCAATTTTAAGAAGAAGTTACAACTACGATCAACTTACGCAACAAAGCTAAATAAGACAACGTATGTTATTCAATAATAATCCCTCGACTTTAGATACAATTACCAAACATGTAAAAACCCCTATCTGATACCCACCTTATTTCTCAGTACCATGCTCTCATTTCCATTCGACATTCAAAAAGTCACTCCGTATCAAAGAGCTTCACCTAACAAACTCTATAAACCTATACAACCAAATAAGACCAGGGATATAAACTTACCAAACAACGCAGACGGCTCGACGTCGCGCATAGAAAGACTGGAGGAGGCCTGTGATCCGCTGGATTCCGTGCTCTGCATGCATCTTAGCCTTCTTCTCAGTTTTGGCATGTCAAACGGCAAGTCCCTCAAATCCACGCTGGTCGCGCTGCCAGACGTGGTGGCGTCCTGTTGCATAAGCAATCGCCTCCTTCGCAGTTTCGGCATGTCGAAAGGCAGATCGGATAGCTCAGGCTCGTTGTCCACGAGATTGATGTTATCCAGCTGCGGTTTCAACAAGTGGAACCCGAATGGTTTGCACTTGATCCCGGCTCGCGACTCGATCGAGATGCCACTGTCCGATCCTTGGATCTCCGCATCGCCCGACGACGAGGATTGCAGGGCCAAGTTAATCAGATTCTTGTTTTGCGGTGTGCGTCTCTTCTTGAAAGACGTGTCCATCGGTGAGGTCACGGAGTTTGTGTTTGTATTTCCTGTGTTTGTGTTCGTGTTATTCGACGCGGTTACGTTATTCTCCGTGGTCACGTTCTCTTCAGGCGAGGCTTTCTGGGAATTGTTGTTACGGTTGTTGTCGGAAGTCTCGGAGGCAGGTTCTTGGGACGATTTGTCAGAGATAGGAGACAGTATGTGTAGTTTGTTCGCGTGGTGGGTTAAAAAACCGGTCATAGAAGGTTGCTGATGATGATGGTAGCAATTAGTGCTGCCACTGTCGGAGCTGTGGGAGCTTAGACTGGTACTATGGCGGCTCTCGGAACTACTAGTGGATCTGTTACCCTCGCTAGTGCTACTTCGAAGCGATTCCATGCTACCTCCACTGCTACTGGTAGCCATACTCTCCGTGCTCGAGTATCCCGCCCTGCGTCTACTGGTCCGTAATTTGAATTCCAACAAGCCGACATCCCTACGAGGCCGTAATAGATCACTCTCGGCCTCGTGAGGCCTACCTTTGAACTCCATGATCGGCTTGCTCTCGCGAATCAAACTGCGTGGTCGTTGCCTCTCCTCTCGCGGCCTCCCCTTGAACTCTAGTATCAGTTCCTGGTCGAAACGTCGTCCCTGAGACGATTCTACGTTGTCTTGAGCAAAACTTTTCGGTCTACTTTTGATCTCGAGAATACTACCCTCGCTACTTTGAGGCGAGTCTTTCGCTCTCAACAGAGACTTTACGGGCAATCTTAGATCCTTGAGACGTGGATGGTCAGGTTGACAGGGTAGGTTCGGTGTGCTGCGTATGTTTAACAACAAGTGATCACGGTTGCCATGGAATTTGGCAGGCAACGGTGCCGTGGATGGAGGTGACGGAGTATAACCTCGGGCCGGTAATCTCGGTGAACCGGTTTTCTCGTCGCTTGAATTGATCTGGAGGGATTCGATGTCTTGGGACAGAGTAGAAATATTGTCTGATTGCTGCTGTTGCTGTTGCTGCTGCTGCTGCTGAAGACGGCTCGGAATCGGTTTTGGGCGGAGAAGTACAACTTTGCGTCGATCTTTGCTGCTGTGGGACTGACCAGCGTATGGGACTTGCTGTTGTTGCTGTTGTTGTTGCTTCGACGTGTCCGTCGATGAGCTCGTTCTGCTTACTGGTATCGCGCTGCTGCTTCTGATCTGCATTATCAAACAACAATCAATAATTATCATAAGTATATTCATCGTGAAAGTGAATGAATAGGAACTGATCGGAGAATTAATGTTTCATTGTGAATCTCTCAAGTATATCAGAAGTTAGTTTATACAATACGAAGGTATAACTACGTTCTCGTATAATGAGCGAATTATACGGTTCGGCCGCAATTAAAGTTCAATTAGCGCTAGATAGGGGAAGATTCATAGTTCGTGTTCCGAAATCCCGTAACATTTTGAGATATATTGGACTTTAATTGCTTTTCATTAAAGACCAACAGCCCCGCGTTTCCCTAATATCAGAGAACAGGCAAACTCGGGAAATAAATCGCAAACGCAGATGTTCCCGTAAAAATGATAATTCTGGAATCTTCTTCCTTAAAACGATGAAACAAAGCATTAATATCGTAAAGAAACAGGAAAATTGCGCGAAAAAATATGGGCATATTAATATTATATTATTTACTATGACAAGTAGAAGAAATATTTATCGAATACGTAAATAAACAAATAAATTTCATAAAAGTGCCCCAACAACGTAAGAAAAATAAAACATAATCGAATGCTATCGTAGATGATAAAGGATAAGAACATTGATACGTACCTGTGAATGCAACACAGGATGATTGGTAACCCGATCGAGGTCATCGAGGTCATCGTCAGAGCGATTGACCTTGCAATCAAAGGCCGTCTCGTAGAGGTGACGTTGCCTAGCCATCTCTTCCTCGTCTTCCTCCACCTCCACGTCCTCCTCCTCCTCTTCCTCACCCTCGTCCTCTCCCTCCACGTCGTCCTCGTCCTCGACGAGTATCGGTTGCGGGTCTATCCTCCGTGTACGACGTAGCTTGCGCACTTGGTGCCGCGTTAGTTGCGGCTGCCGTTGATCTAGCTCATCCTCCTCTTCTTCAGCTGATGCGACGCAAGTACAAACCGTGGTTGGTAGGTCGTGGCTTAACAATCTATGAGGAGGCATGAGGGTGTGATCCCACTCGGTGATGATGCACGACGAGAGGATCTCGTTTCTGGCTGGGACAGCATGCTCGCTCCCCGACGTGGGGCTCACTAGATCCTGACTTTGATAATGCTGTTGTGGCTGCAATGGATGTTGTTGCTGTAGCTGCTGTTGTTGATAATGTTGCTGCTGTGACTGCTGCTGCTGCTGTTGTTGTTGTTGCTGAGATGAATAGGAACCCCCATCACCCGCCACCGAGTTTCTCTTCGGTATACCGGGTGTTCGTGAACGTTCACCCGGTACGTCGAGACTAACGCTTTTTCTGTACCTGTTCGGCTGTGACTTGCTTATTTGATCCGGTACCTTGAACAAATCGCCGTAGTAATAGGGTGATGGATGGCGGACCGGCTGATTAGATTCGGTGGGTGATTGATCCGTGAGATGCACCAGGGCTACGCAGTCCACCACAGCCCCGTCGACCGAGCTTAGCTCTTTTTCTCTGTCTACTGACAGAGCACGAGTCGAGGAAGACGCGTACAGACTGTTCTTGCGTTTTCTGATATCCACTCGGCGACCATCTTCGTCATCCTCGCAGGAAGAGCCTGAAGCAGATGGATCTGGAACGAATAATACATGGAATCTTCGTGAGCATCGTCTACTGTACGTGATACATAAAGGCGAATATAGTCTTTATATTTACATATGTATCTTCGTATAAGCTTCAGAGTCCTATTAATCTTTCCTTGGCACGACTAGCGTCTCATAAAAAATATTATGGTAGATGGGCATCAAGATAGAGGAGATAGCAAAGTTCGTGGTAGGAATACACAAGAAGGTATACCATACTCCAACGGATCGTATACCTTTGGTAAAATGAAACCGACGCGAAATTTTCATAATCGTTCTGTTATACGAGCATCGGCTACTCTAAGATGTTGAAGGTGGAGAATAGAGATGCTTATGGGGAGACGAAATTGCCGTGAAATGGCAGGCTGGTCTTCTTAAAAATCACTTGTTCGCCCCGCGAGATATTACCGTAATGGTTTCTGGCCGGCTGACACGGGGTTCTACCTTCTTTCTATCCTCTTTCTTCGTACACTTTCACTCGTTTCAACGTCGTTCCGGGATCGTCTTGTACCCCGAGTTTACGATCGTGTCACAAGCATGCTTAGGTAAACGGAAATCGGCTCGGCGGATCGCAGGAGGTGGGAAATTACATGGACACCCGGTACATTAGCGAAGCAACGTGCACACGCAGTATAGACGAAAGGACTGGAGATAATGGGAGCATTATGCTCGGCCGGAGGGCTTTACCGAAATCCTTCCTTGCTCCTCCTTGGCTAGGGTGGTAAGTGCAAGAGGCACACCATAAACCACGCCAAAAGCTGTTTCTGACAGGAACCGCCTTCCCAAATTTCGCGAGAAAGTTTCCCGATGGAAGCAAAAAATTATTATCGGGATCTCTGTCTGATCTCCGGTGCCACTGTCTCGTTAAACCGCTCAGGAGCTTTAACAGGATGTGAATATTTTGTGAGGCAAAATTAAGAAAATTGGAGAATATCATGGAAATTCGATCACTTATCTTCTACTTTGTACTTTTACTTGGTAAGTAAAAAATGTTGTGCATCTACTATTTCCTTATAAAACGAAAGAAACTTTTGGAACAACCTTATTACGCTTCTGTAAATATTCTTATAAGATTAAAGAGTATTGTAAATATCGAATTAAACATATTCTCACCGCATATGACAAAATGAAGGCGATAAAATAATGTTTTCACAGACGTTCTTCCTTGCGAGCAATACCAAGAATGTGAATTAACATACTGTACATATTTGATGTAATAGTGTTCAATTTATAACTTCAATATAGAAAATATGAGGGATATGTCTAATCAATAATATGTTATATCTACGTGTACAGACGATTACATGCAATAGAATAATCATTCTAGTGATATTTTTCCAAGTAATAAGACTACAAATTAACGTATATATATAATAATATTCAATTTATAACTTTGATATAGACAGTAAGAAAATGTCTGAGTAATAACGCATTATATCACTACTGAGAGCTAGTAATGGAATAATTCTTTCAAAGATATTTTTTCAAATACTAATTATACCGCAACTCACATCTTCTTAAAGTAAAAATGTCTGACTAACGACATGTTATATCACTGGCGAAGTCTAATATCTAGAAGCAAGACAATAGTATTGAAATATATGAGTAATATATAGTAATATATGAGTAACGAATAGCAATGGAATATATCCATAATATCTTCCATTTTTAATTTTTCTGTTCTAAATCAAATTCTAAAAAGAAGAGACCTTATACAAACGTACTCTGAAACGACCACGGTGATTTACGTATGATTCATGATTCCAATAAGAAAGAAACGAGCAAATGTTAATATGCGGGATCCTTTAGAGGAAAAAACGTATGAATTTACGTTGAATACAGCGAATCAACTTATTACCTATTTTCAGGCATTTTCATTATCACGAGGTCCGTGGAACTTCGTTCTCCATTCGAATATAAAAGGCCGCGCCCAAACGATGAAACGAGAAATGAGAAATTAATTCCTGAACAATGAATCCGGAAAATTATTATATAACACGCACACACCTTTTCACGAAATTACAGACACGGTCTCGCACAATTCCTTTTCATCTTTCTTTCCGATTGTATAACTTGTCCTACTCTCGCCACAATGAACTGCGAAGCATACAAGAATTCAATCGAACCATTCATTTCGGAGAAAGAACAAAGCATTCCTTTATAGAATTAAATTGAGGAAATTTGAAATAGAAACTGGGAAAACGAACACATAAAGAAGTAGAAACAAGACTCTGTTATATCATTTTCTAATCAACTAATGTACCACTTTTTATCTAAAATATTGAATTTTTTATTATAACACATAAGTACATTTCATTAATACTGAAACTACAAGAATGACCAATTTGTAGATTTGTATAGAAATTTTTGAACATTTCAATGATTTTTTTGTAAATTAGTGCGGATAAGGACAACCCTTTTAAATTAAGGTTTTATGATGCTATAGTAATAAGTAGTTTTGGTATTAAATAAGAACATTTTTGATAAATTTTAGAATATGGAATATAAAATATCAATTATACAATTCAGTCATATAATTGTGCGTATGATTTATGTAAAATTTAATTCAAAATATTGAAAGATACGAAGTAGTTCGTAAGTGAAAAAATACACCTTGCGACCGTTCGATATGTATGGCGAATTGATGCGTTGTTGAAATGGCGCACGTCCAAAACATCCATCATGTTTCCATGTCAACGACGTTAACGTAGGTGATGCATGCACGATGCACAAAAAAATACGATATCGCTCTTGGATTTTCGCGATGTCGTTGCTCGTGAACTATTGACGTTTAGAAACTTATATAAGAAAAGGATAAACACCAAACTGAAGATTTCTTTGTAAATAAAATAAATTCTGAACTTTCTCCTTCTTATATAAATGATATATGTGTTTAGATATATTTCTTTTTCTTTTGTGAAATAAACTTTATCAGAAAAGTAGTTTCTAAGAGAAAGTTACAATTATTTTATTAATTCTTCAAAATACTATACACTTATTGTCAAAAACAGGTATAAACTTCGTTCTTAACATCGCATCAAATAGTCCACTAACAATTTTACAAGAGATATCAACACGAACTAACAAGATATGTCACGAATCGTACAGAACAAGACCTGAAAGGACAATGGAAATTTTTTATTATCCGTCAAACGCGCGTTTCTCCAATGCAAACTAATAAATGCGATGAATATTGAAACAGACGTGAATTCTTCATATCAGAAGAAAATTGCATATAAAACATTTTACCAGTCGACCAACATTTTTAACGGAGTAACGATACGAACAAAAAATACAATATCGACGCACTGACTACAGTTAGCGCAATATGCTTGAAAAATTATATTAGACCAATATGATAGCGCTTTATAGGAAGGGGTTAGACGACAGTTGTGAACGAAAATGAAAGGTAGCATGAATATGCATCCGCAGCTGGTTCGTCCGGTCGTTTTACACAAGACACCGGATCAAATCTGGAGAGAAATAAACGTATTAAGGAAACCGCTTGCTCGTGCTGGTTGATTGCTTCCTAAACGAGAAATCGATATCCGTGAGGGCGTATCAAGCTAGAAGAAGGAAATTAAATGCGGACTCGCGATGTTTCCATCAAGGAAACTTCTGCCAACGATTGAGGTACAAATTAAACGCTAATGTAATTGTTTCGCAAGTAACGATTAGGGTTTTATGAAAGCTTTGTTCATTAAGAAATGAATGAAGATGAAGTTGCGATGTAATACTGTAATCAGATACTTATTTTGATGAGGTTAAATTGTATACAGAACAAATCACTTGAGATATTGTGAAGGTTAATAGAGCAGGTAAATAAAAGACGAACTCCCGTTACTATACGTATACCACAATCATTATTTCCTTTGATTTTATAGACGTCGATAATTGCAATTAACATTTACTAAGGAATAATGAGAATCATTGTTATTTACCCGCATAGTAGCCTACGGCGTACGAACCATTGACATAAACTACTTAGTGCTCTGTACACTTGAATCGTTGATCCGAGCTACTTAATATTGAACCTATTGGATTATACGTCTTAAATTATATTACGAGTCAAAATCAATATAATAGACTCGTTTATAATTAGCTACCTACCTCTGAGAAATTTAAGAAAACAATTTCATTATTAACAAAAAAAAAAAAAATTCATTGGCTAGGAAATACCAAATACATGGTTCAACCTTTTTCCTCGACACCCCTATTGCACTGTACTATGAAAATTTAAATCGCGGTAATTTCAACCCATTCACGAAAAACTTGACTAAAAATTGACGCTACAAACATTAAAATCATTTTCTATACAAATGAAACAAATTAAATTTCAAAAATATCCATTCCAAAGACACATACTAAGAGATTCGTTTGAAGTCGCTCAAAGCGCGATTAGCTGTGCCGCACGTGCACTATTTTCAATCATCCCCTCCATTGGGTCAGCCGGTAAGCCGCCCCGCTTGGTTCGACGAAGGACACGCACACGACACACACAAGCATACACATGCTAGGTTGGCGTAGGGCCAAATTGCACCAATATTGATTACCGATCGATAATCAGATTTGCGAGTTATCCGCAGGGTGCAGGAAGGGATGCTGCAGGGGAAAGTACGAGTCGTTGAATGACCGAATGAGTTATGAAGTAAACGAGCTACCATCAAGCTCGTCCAAACAACTGATATACGTATATCGCGCGAATCGGTGGAAACGCAAGGATACTCGACTAGAATCTGTAGATAACACGGTGCGTGAGTCAGTGAGCGGTTGTTTGAGTGCTTAGCGAGTGATGTATCGCGCACAAGAACACCAAGTGCGTAAACACGTGAGAAGCTAAGGTGCTCGTATTACAGGGTGAGTTATTGAATAGAGAGTCGCAAGGGTAAATCGGCGACGTCGATGGATATGTTTGTAGATGGTTAGAATGTTAGATGTATTAGGTTGGTTCATGTGAAATTAATTATGATAGCAAATGATATTTCTTATA